AATTTAGGGGTCCTTATCATAAGGATTCTACTATTTACGGTGCCGTATTATGTCCCCCAGATTTGGGAACTCCCATTTATATACTTTAGGTCCCAAAAGACAATCCCTATTTTGGTTTTAGGGACCTAATCCCCATAATGCTAGTATGTATGAACCCTTTGGGTAAGCAGCTGGCACTTGACTCGAAACCAGATAACGTCATAATGGCTCTTTCAGGTTTTGAACAGTTTGGAAGACAGAGAGTCAATGCGTACTACAAATATGATTCTGATACAGATGATTGTGGAATTAGGTCCCAACGATCATGCCGATAATATGTGTGGGATACTGGTGGTGGATATGGACCTTCTGGGTACATATTGTTCCAAGCAATGTTTCTCCATGTTGAGAGCCCTTCCTTTAAAGGAACCGTTTGGGCAGGGTTAAGGTGAAAACTGGGTTTACGCGGTCAGGAGCTTCAACTGGCTTTACGGTTTGGGATTTGTTATAGGGATCCTCAGGGGGGTAGGGGGCGGGGGGTAGGGGACTATACTTCCTTAAATTCCGTATTATGTCCTTGTCATAGGTATTAAGGCCCCCCCTAACCCCCCTAAGGGTCCTTATGGATGTAGGACATTGGGTTTTGGGTTGGAATCCAAAAAGCGACCTCCAGTCTCCATTTGTGGGGGTTACCTTATAGGATCCTACATGTAAAACTGGTTGTAAACCAGAACTACAATGGAGACCACAGGTAACAGATGCGTATCTCAGGACTCATTTCGTAGGCTCCAGCTACTGCAGCTTGAGAATGGCCGCCAACTACCCAGGCCAGGGCATGAGTCCGCAGCCTACTTACCAATTTTCGGGTTGTATGGTTTAGGCTTCATAAGGCTTTGGGTTCACCCTACACTAAACCCATGCAGGAGTTTCAACAAGAGAAGTAAGCCTAATCTAGACCCCGCCTACAAGATGACCCGTGCAAAACCATCTGACCCCACCTAAATTCATATCAAGGCCTTCCTAGACTCTGCACCCTGAATAGTTTTTCCTGGCCCGCTCAAAAACAACAAAGAAGCACCCTCAACATCGCCACGCTTGAATTTGGATATTCCACCTTCTTGAGGGCGGCTCGCGGTAAGTCCAGCCAGGAGCACCGGCAAGATCTACTATGCCTGCAGCTTACTTCGGGATTCAGGGATTGTTAGGATTGTTGGGGTCTCGTCGGGGTTTTATAAGTGGGTGCTGCTTAACTGCAGTCTGCAGAACCTGCCTTTTGTCGGAGGCACTGTCAGTTTGAGACCTTAGTGTAGGTCCCGGTAGGTTTCGTATGCTCCGGTAGGCAGAGCTGCTATCTTGCATGCCACCACTTGGAGGCTCATGGGACTTAGTGAGTAAGGTTATAAGTACCGTAGTTGGAGTTTTAAGTAGTTATAAGTAGTGTTACCCCAAGTATAACTCTAGTTATTAAGTCCCATGATCCTCTAAGCATGGGCCAACACTGAACCCGGAGCTCCTTACAATTGTTGCTCGCAGTTGGGCGCAGAAAGGGCCCAGAGGCTCCAATACCCCCTAAATTAAGGAATATTCTTTAAATCATATTAGGGCTCTTATTTTCAATTAAGGTACATTCCTGAATTAAGGGATATATTGGCGTCTCTGGGGGCCAGAATCCACAGATCTTGCTCAACGAAACCGGCCCAGTGGGTCAGCCGTGTACATCTCTTGGAGGCTCTTATAAGGGCTCCTTTAAGGGTCCCTTGAAAGGGAACTATAGGGATTCTGTAAGGGTATGGGGTTTAGGGTCTACTTGGAGGTTCATGGGTACTGTAGTTATAAGTAGGGATATAAGTAGGATAACTATGGTTGTATCCTATATTAGGGGACTTAGAACCCTACTTATAACTACCCATGAACCTCCAAGCTCCGACCAGAACACTACAAGTCTCCCAAGACCTGGAGTTCTCCTACACCCAACGGTTCAGACTTGCAGGTAGTTGTACATTCTATGCCAGCCCACACAAGCAGAGCGCAAGGACACCCGGAACTGGAAGTTTCGCCTCAGTTTCAGATTGCTCCATTGCCTTTGCAGCTCTTTCGAAGGGCTCTCTGACTACTCTACATGCAACAGCGGCTCCAGCCTCTGCATCCATGCTTCATTTTCCTATGTCCTATGTCTACGTATCTGTCAACCTTTCGGTGTGCATGCAGTACAGCCTTGTAGCAATACGAATCGCACGCATGCACATGCACGCACGCACACACACACACAAACACATCCACGCTGTAATGAATGTCGAAGCTAGGAAGATGTATGCTTATCTGAGAACAGTAACCCTGACCGCAAGGCAATTGCATGACAGACTAGAGTGACTAGATGTAAATCGGGACACGCTCTTTCGGCTTTGGTGGTATTACAAGCGCAGCATACCCTGTTGTGCCCGTGGCATTTGGCGTCCCAGCTTCTAGTGCGGGAAGGTTCGAAAGATAAGGAACCTTTTGAAGCCATCGAAACAGAATTCTCAGCCTGAAGAGACTCCCCAAAAGATCCTCCGCGAGGTGAATGAGAAGCTGGGAAAGTCCCAGTTTGAACCCCCTGCTGGCTCCACAATTGACAAGAAGGCCGCCCGCTCAGAACAATTCCCAAGGGTTTAGCATAGATCCTTGAATGGATAACAATACTATTACTAATAACCAACTTATAAGAAGAGTATGAATTACGTCAGGCCGCTATAGCTTGATCCCTGCACTTAATCTGGGCCCAAAGCCTGAACCTTGCGATGTCTTGAAAGGGTCGACAGAAGGATGAAGAATTTCGGAGATTGGGTTCTTGCTAAGGAGTTTAATTTAAGTTAGCATAATAAGGAGACCATGTTATTTACTATAGATCCCTACTACTGTAACGGAGATAATGAGTCGTGACATAGACTCATAGACTTCAGTTCCCAAAGCAGGTATGGGAGTTTTGGAAAATACAATAAGAATCCTACTATTTAGGGTACTATATTAGTGTGCCCATTTTTCGGAACCCCGCCTTCCTCCCCCCCAAATTATATTTTATTCGTACACTTCGAGTCGTTGACATTGGTTTTTGAATCGTATCATGGCTTTCATGCTCAAGGTTTGTTTAAACCCTATATAAGCCTTGAAGCCAAGTAGTCCGCGTTTGTAATTGCATCGTGTTGTTAGTGAATGGATTGACCTATAGGCTTCCGAGGACCAACCAGTCAAGAACGAGGGATCTCAACACATCTTCAAAAGTTAAGTGGCTGGGAACCCCGCCCAAAGATGTGTGCGTATGTATGCATGTATATATGTATATATATATATATATATGTATATATAGGCATGCATATATGCATGTCTGTCTGTATGTACTGTATGTATGTATGTGTGTATGCATGTATGTCTGTATGCATCAACCTGTGGAATGAGTCGGCAAAGACGCATGTAAAGCCTCAATGTAGCAGTGCTTATAGATCATAAACCTCAAACCTCTAAGGGCTCAAAAGACCCAATAGATAGGTAGTTGAGTTTCGGATCGTAGTTTTGTAGGTGATCATTTAAGTGAGGGTATTTCGAGTTCTGGGACTCTTACCCAGGGAACCGTGGCCAGGTGGACCCCAAAAAGAAGAAAGCCGCCGCCAGAAGCAAGGCCTCTTCCGGGTGGTTAAGGTCTAAGGGTCCCTGTGCTGATATAGTATATATACTTTGGCCTTACAGTCCCTCTGTAAGTACATTGGGGCGTAAACCCTAAACCCTAAACCCTAAACCGTGGGGGGCGTAAGTATATACTATTTGGGCACATGGACCCTTAGGGAGCGGCTTTTCAAGATTGCAGCTTCGGGAAATGGAGTGGCCGGCTCCAGAATTAGTTTCCGAAAATTCGGGGTACCTTACTTTGGGGCTCTTTATAATAAGGATTCTACCATCTAAGGTGCTAGATTAGGGTCCCCCATTTTCGGAAACTCCCATGTAGAGAGTCATCAGGAGGGGCGTTACATTTGGGACCGTGACTCCGCAAGTGTCGTTGCAAGCTTCTTGTCTCCGATATCGAATCGTGCCAAAAGATAGACGAACTGGCGAGTAGGGCAGGCTGTAGACCGAAGGTGGTGCAACAGACATCGACAGGCATATGCACAAGAAGTTCCAGACACCTACAACTTTCGGATAACTGCGTCAAGTATCTGTGGAGATGTACTGAGTTCCGCTACAACCGAAACATACCTGTGCTGGGGATGCACTTGCCGTGTGAACTTTGCATATCTGTGCTGTGGGCACTAGACATTGTACTCCAGGACACCAGCGGTCAGTGAGAACGACCGCGGAATCCCATGTCATTACTGGGTCCAGAGGGCTGGGTTGCATGTTTCATGATGCTCAAACCTTATCCGTCGCAGACATTGCTGGACTTTCTATGTATTGGTCTGGCATGCAATTATGTAGTCGCTTGGCGCCCATGACTTTTGTTGAGATTTGTCAGAGTCTTCGGGTTCTCACAGCAAGTTACCAAGAGCTCCCGGGTTCTCTACTCATGCTTTTCTCGAAGAGCATAGCGAAGAGACAGTCCTTCTTTTCATATCTCTTTGCACCATCACCTTGGCTCCCTAAAGCCCGAATAGCCTTGAATCCTAAACCCAAAATTTCTTGAATCCTAAACCCAACAGTTTCCTGCAGCCCTCAGTTGATCGGTACACTCTGGGATCTGTTTACGCTCGGGCGCTGCTGATCGTGATTCTGCCTTCCGCCAGACCTGGAAGCCTGGATCATGCAGCATTCGTTCAGGGATTTAGGGTTTGGGGTAGAAGGTCACAGTGCCACGTTGGGCTTGAAGTCGCAGCACACAATCCTGCAGCAAAGCCAGCCCCAGCATCGGCAACGCCTGCAAGATTATTGACAGCCTCAGCTTTCCCCAACGGCCCGAAGCCTGAAGACTTAGAGCAAGTTGACATACCACATGCAGACCCTCGACTTCAACCCGCAGCGCTAGAGACGGCAAGGGCACTCTAGAAATTCGAGATGCCATGGACACGGTGAAGAGACTGCAGCCTTCCGTTCGGGAGCTCTCCAGCAAAGATCCGACGACTCGCAGTGATGCTGCCAAAGACCTGGCTGTGATCGCGACCTGGCTGCGGGATGTGGGATTTGGGTGTAGGCTCTTTTTGGGTTTTCGAGGCTTCTGGGATTCGTGCTTAAAGCTTCAAGGTTTAGGATGCACCACTGACAAGAATTATGCAAAGTCACAACCCCAACTACCCAAAGCCTGTGCGAGGTGAAACAACATCATTTGTATCCCATCTCGCTGGTGCAACTGGATGGCGTGAAGCCCCTCATCAAGCTGGTGTCGGCAAAAGAAGCTTGGGCAAGTCATATTCAGGTATATAAGGGATTCTTGGATAGTTTTACCGGTATGTGTCTTGCTACCAGCCTTACTATCGGGAGTGCTCTCGTCACAACTGATGCCATGATTCTAACATGTCGTGGCACCGCTTGATTTCATGACGGAGCGCACTACCAGGTTGTGGTTGGTGCTAGCGTTCCTGCCATGTGCTACGGTTGTGAAGCCGGCGTTGATGCTTGCAGGCTACTGATTTGGATGTCACTGCAGGTCGACCTGCGATCACTACTACTGCATGTTGCGAACGCTGATAATTAGAGGCTTGCAAAGGCCCCGCAAGAACGCAGTCCTGGTAGGGCTTTGGGTTTCAGGATGCCTGCAATCCGAACCAATTGTGGGCCGCTGCAGACCAAACAGTAAGATTTGAGAATCCGCGCTGCTAACAGCAAAGCCCGAAGCATTTGTCTCATGATCTTCAAGGCTTGCACTTTACCCTAAGGCCCCGAAGTAGTTCCGTTTTGGGGTTCGTATATAGAATCCTATAAGGGAATCCCCAAAAGGAACTACTGTGGAGCTTCTGGGTAAGCTGAACCCAGGAAAAGGATGTGCAAGGGGGTATGGAGCGTGCAAACGCCGCCCTGGCCCTCGGCCATTTTGTCGCTCGCCTGATACCAAAGCAGCATGATGAGCTTACGGGTTCGGCATTCTCCTGGTTTTGAGCTTCACGGTCTTGGTTCCCATATGCATGTGTCTGCATGTATGTATGTACGTACACAGTATGTATGTATGCATGTATGTATTTATGTACGCATGTGTATGCATGTATGTATGTGTATATACACATATATATATATATATGTAGCGCACTGCTTGTTGTTTCGTTTAGGAGCTTCAGGCTTTGAGGTCTCGCGTCTCCAAGTTGATAGCTTCTTATACTATAAATCTATATAGGGCGGTCGAATCGGGCACACGGTTCATCTCCAGCTCACACATGCTAGTGGCACGCTGAAGAATGCTTTGCGTGAGCACTTGAGGGAGCACGCATGTTGTGTAAGCGGGGATGATTTTGTCCCAAGTTGCAACCACCTGAAGCTCCAATGCCTCGCTACGAGAAACCTTCTTGATTTGCGCACCATCAACCCGTATTCCAAGGCCTAAAGTTTCTAAATTATCCCAAGCCCTCAACCATCCTAAACTCTAAACTCGGGCAGGGCGGTTGTACGGGGGGTTCCCGTTTGAGAGTTCGGTTTTATCCGCAACTAGCCCAGTTCGCTGGCCGTGGGTGGACCCGCTCAACCCTTGTCCCGAAACCCCGAAAAACGCCGAAGCTCTGGTTCTACAAGCCCTAAAGGAAACGAGTGAAACCATCAGGGTTCTTAGCGGAAGCCAACTCATTGTAGTACTTTCTATGGCTACATTTACGGACAGTTACCTTTCAGGTGTATTATAATTATAAGGGCTCTTCACAATTCTAAAATGAGGCGGCTGGGGTTGGAGGCTTGTCCCTGCAACTGAGTTGTTTCTGGTGCGCCACGCGAACCATCTAAGGCCAAGAGCAGCAACAAGCACCGCGAGGACCGGACTGTCAACCGTATGATGTTGTTAATGTTACTCTTACTGTCCATATTTACTGTTCTGATTCAGGGTTGGGGTTTAGGGGTTTAGGGTTTCGGGTTTAGGGTTGATTGCTATGACCAGCTTTTATGAGATCAACTTCCCGAACTTGGGGTATCGGGTTTGTTTTGGATGTGGAAATCGTGCTGCTGTCACAGTCCTTCGCTCATTCAGGCCTCCAGGTGGCTAGAGTCTATGCATCATCATCATCACCATCATCATCAGTATGTTTGCTTTTATTGTTTCCTAGTATTAGCATGAATATTTGGGTTGTTCTGTCTTATGGTTGAATTGTTGACGTTATCATCATCATCATCATCATCATGCTCGCTTGTCTTCGTATTTTCTTTTACTTCAGCTTCTCGCAGCTCCTTGGTGTCGTTTTGTGCACATTTTGAGCGTGACTCGTATTTCCCGTTTCCGCCTCCAAAGTCGTGCTTGTGTCAAAGCCGCATGCGTCTCTGCCTCACGAAGTCACAGGCTACCGCCGCAGTGCTGTGCGTGTGGTGTTAGGGACACAAAAAGGACATAAGCACAATACCTTATTGGGCTTCCTCATAATGGGGGTTATCCGGGATATTCCTCTCCTTCTTTTTGCTTATGTGCTTTTTTGGGGCCCTATGGCAGGTTGCCAATACCGCGCCTGCCACAGTGTTGCGAGCATTGTCGGCTCATGGGATGGTTTGGGGACCCTTGAGTGGCTCGTGGGCATGTACGGTTTGTACTTTCAAAAATCCACCAAAAAGTCCAGGCTTGTATTTACCAAAAACCACCAAAAAGTCCAGAAACCCTAAACCCAGAAGCTTATGCTCATTCTTGGTTAAGGCCCCTAGACCCCAAATCTCTGATGGAAGCAATTATTACAAGAACCCTGTCAGGGAACTCTTCAAAGAAGCCCTCTTTTCTGGAGCCCTTTAAAGGAGCTCTGTAGACAAGCCCTATTCTAATCAGTACGGCCCCTGCCAGGCCGTGGTGGCGGCCGGAGGCCTGGGTCCCTTGGTTCGAATGTGCCTGGGCTGGATCAGATACTCACTAGGTAGGCTTTTTCTGGGTTCTTGTTAAGGAACTTAATTTAAATTACCATAATAGGGATCTATCGTAAAAAATAGGGTTTCCTCATTATGGTAACTTAAATTAAGTTCCTTAACAAGAACCCAGTTTTGGGACATGTTCTATTTTTCCCTTATTGGGCTTAACAGGACCCTATTTACGATTATTTGTCCGAGGCTTTAAGGGGGCCAACCTAGCTCAGGGTTTCGGGCAAGTGGTTTAGGTTGTAGGGTAGAAGTGAATACAGGCCGGACAGTTTAGTCTTAAGGGTTTGGGACCTAAGGATATGGGTTTAATTAGGGTTTATGCATTTCTATATATATATATATATATATATATGCACATATACATATTATACATATACATATATTATGTAATTTCATACATATATATATATATATACACATAAGTATGTATTATGCAGACAGTTCAGGAGATAGCACAGACATAGCTATAGATGCATCTTGAACGTTTCGGAGTTTAGGGTCTAGGGCTTGGCCTTTGAGTTCAGGAGTTTAGGAGTTTAGAGTTTGTAGGCCAGGTGAACTTTGGGATGCCTTGCGAATTGGTGTCTTTCTCCGTCGACAATCGCAACTGGGGCTTTGCGTAGACTCTCCAACGACCCTCTGTTCGTCCCTGAATACCAGTATTTGCGCACGAGGCCTCCCTCAACGGTACTTCGCGGGTGGCCCTGACGGACATTTCGTCCCAAAACAAAAAGCGCCATAAGCATTACATGAGCTTTATTTGGAGGTTCATGGGTAGTTATAAGTGGGGGTATAAGTCCCCTAATATAGGTTAGGTTATAACCATATTTAATCCTACATATATCCCTACTTATAACTACCCATGAACCTCCAAGTAGGTGGTGCAGGCTAAAACGCTCAGGGTAAGCTCTAGGCTTCTCGTGCAGGCCCCAAGATAGAGTCGCCAAATCGATCAGCTTACGTCCTTACTTCTGCCAGAAAAATCTAGCAAGATTTGCAATCTTTCATTGAGGCTTTTGTGGCTTCAGGGTTTCGGGTAGGGTAATGAACACCGGAAAAGGAGCCCTGTTTTGGAACAGTTCCGAGACTCAGCACTTCTTGACCCACCCAGGCTACACAAACGCCTGACCCTAAATCCCCTCAGCCACAAATCCAAAGCCCGTTTAAAGCCACCAGAAGCGTCTACCCAGAGGCCTCATAGTAGTTCCGTTTTGGGATTACATAGGATTCTAATTATGAACCCCCAAAGTGGGAACTACTAGGGGCGGGGCCTCTGGGTAGTAACTTAGCAAAAACAAGACCACACCCGAGAAAACAAACCGAAGCAGAGGCTCGATTCTGACCGTGCAGTGGAGCGCTGCCAAGCGAGCTTTGCTGTGGCGCAGCTTTGCGAGGACGACGCTTGGACGGAGATTTGAGGCCGTTATGTGTTCCCAGAGTTTAGAGGGTTAAGGGTTTGGGCTTTCGAGGGTTTATTATCGAGGGGCTTCAGGTCTTCAAGACTTGTTTATAGTTTACGGTTTAGTTTCGCGGTGTTTTTCGAATCGAGGTCGGTTGGGGCGCTTCACAGGCTCTGTGGTTCAGGCTCGGGGGCTGTGGGTATAGGGCCATAGGGGTTGAGCTTGGTCTTTTTGTTGGAGTACTGGGGTCGTTCCATGGGGCTTGGGGTGCAGGGTTTAGGGGCTGCAGGCGATCGGCTTCGGAGCGTTTGGCCTGAGCTTCGGGACCTCAAGTAGTTTCCTACGAACAGACATATGGGAGTTTCCGAAAGTTAGGGGTACCTTAATTGGGGTCCTTATTATAAGGATCCTACTATTTAGGGTACTATACAACGGTTCCCCATTTTCGGAAACTCCCATATGCATGCCAGTCAGTCAGTCTGTAATGCGATGCAATGCAATGCAGTGGAATACATCGTAATTGTAATGTAATGTAGTTTCATGTAATGTTATGTTATTCCTTGCTATGTTATGATATATGCCATGCAGTGCAATGCGATGCAACGCAACTTAACGCAGTGCACACACACACACCCACACAAGTCTCACACACACACACACACATACATACATACATACCTACCTACCTACCTACCTACATACATACATACATACATACATACATACATACATGTGTGTACATATATATACGTATATACATATACACACACGGAGATGCTTACGGCTCTCATAGCACCACTACGGTAGCAAAGCAAGCTGTCGTGAAACTGACTGGGTTCTTGTTAAGGAACTTAATTTAAGTCACCATAATAAGGAAACCTATTATTTATGATAGATCCCTATTATGGTAACTTAAATTAAGTTCCTTAACAAGAACCCAGCTGAGGATGCCAGAGCTCAGAGCATTGCTGTCCGCCTCAATGCTGTGCACCACCTGGCCTGAGCCTAGGATCAGGGCTTTGGGGCTGGCGGTTTGGGAGTTATTGGTTTTAAGTTTTAGAATAGTGTTTTAGTTTTAGTTTAGGGTCTGGGGTGGAGAGTGTATGATTATTGTGGGGGTTTGGGGGGGTGTAGTGTAGGGCTGAGGGCGCAGGGCTTCAGGGGGCCAGGTTTCTGTGGGGCCAGGTTTCTGTTTCAGGGCTTTAGTACAGTCCGACTCGGACTTACATTCGGTTTTGCATTAGGGTGTTTTTTTTCCGATGGGCAGCTCAATCCGACAGCATCATCATACGACAGCTTGCTTCGGAGACGGAGCTGAATCAGTGGTACATGGTCTGGTTAGACTCTCTGAGATTTAGTCTCATGCTGCCCTTGTGTTACACCGAAGGGAAGGCAGTTTTGATTGCTTCTGTCGGCTCGGGCTACGGTTGCTGCAGCCTTGTTTTGGACTAACTGCTGCCAGCCTAGCGCATGTCTCTTAAAGCCCGAATCCTTACGTCTAGACCCTACAGTACCCTAATATATATATATATATATATATATATACATATATATATATATATATATATATATATATGGGCCTTAATAATTACCAATACTATTTTGGGGGGCTCCTTAACATGAGTGTTGTATAATGGGCCCCACAACCCCATTCTAAATATGAAGGCCCCTTTATTGCACCCTTATCAACCCTTATCCCTTAATTAGCCTTCCTCCTACAATGGCGCGGCCAAGGTCCGAGAGCTCAGCTTGGAGAGCGGTGCCGTAAGCAACGCGGCCTACGCGCTCGCCGTGCTGTGCGGAAAGATGCAGGCCAGAGTTTACGGCTCGGATTTGGGGGTCAGAGCCCCAAGGGTCTTTCACCCATATGCAGGATTTTTGCCCTTGAAGTACCTAATCCTCCCAATCATATATGGAGTACCTTATTAAGGCCACCTTACATGAAGCCTTAGGCCATATTACCGGTTTGTGCCGATCTGACCTGGACCTCCGCAAATTTTCACCAGGGAGTGATCTTATCCGGGGTTTAGGGGTTAGGGGTTTAGGGTTCATGAGTTAGGGGTGTCTAGAGCTCGCAGTTCATTCCCAACTCATCTGACATAGAGGCCCACATCTGACAAGTAACCCTCCTGAATAATTCAGGAGGGTTCCTTGCTAGAGCTATACCAGGCTATAGCCAAGAAGCCTTTCAAAGCCTTGTTTTGGCTTCCAACCATGGTTCTTGCCATTTTGGGGTGTGACGTTTCGCATGGGAGCACCCGGACCCTGTAAACCCTTCGCGGCAAACCCCTGACCCTGAACCACGAACTTTTCACCCAAAACTGACACTTAATCAAGCAGTAGTAGTCGTCTTTGTAGTAGTCGTCATCGTAGTAGTCTGAGAAGTCGTCGTTGTAGTGGTCGTGGTAGTAGTAGCGTAGCAGTAGTGGTAGTAGTAGAAGTAACAATTACTACTAACTACTAACTATAATTACTACTACTACCACTACCACTACCACTACCACTACCACTACTACTACTACTACTACTACTACTACTACTACTACTACTACTACTACTACTACTACTACTACTACTACTACTACTACTTGTACTACTATTGCTTGGCTGCCTCGGACTACCCGCGTCCAGGCCCGACCCCCACAGTGCGGCCGAGAAGCCCCGAGTGTAGCCCTAAGGGTTCAGGTTCAGGGTTTAGGGCCTTTGGGGTTTAGAGGTTTAGGGTGTAGGGTTCTGCATACTTCACTTACAGCTAGAGTGCTTCAAGGCCAAAGTATATACTGTATGGGGATAGGTGCCCTTCGAGCAGCCCGAAAACCCGCACCCTGAACATTGGCTCCCTGCAGCAGACGAGTGACAGCCCGCAATACCCGAAAACCCAAGCCCAAAAACCCTATATGGGACTTTCCGAAATTAGGGGTACCATATTTGGGGGTCCTTATAATAAGGATCCTACTATTTAGGGTACTATATTAGGGTCCCCTATTTTCGGAAACTCCCATATGTGATCCCGATATCCGAAGGAACTTTAACCTTGCAGATTCTTTAAGGAACATCAAGGAACCATAAGCCCACAACCCAGAACCCAAAACCCAGAACCCATATCCCCAGATCCGAACCACGAGGTTCAGTCAGAGATAGGGCGGATTGGGGCCGCAGAGCCACTGGTTCAGTATCTGCTCCTCGGCTAGCATGACAAATCCATGCTTCAAAGCTTTAGCGTGTAGGGTTCAGGGGTTGAGGGTTTAGGGGTTTTGGGGCTGACGGTTTAGCAATTTAGAGATTTAGGGATTTAGGGGTTTCAGGGTTTAGGTTATTCGACAACCAAGGGCTCCTGTATGGATTCAAAATGTGGGTTTTGGGGTGCTGAGTCCAAAGTAGCTATTTAATTGTGGATAGTAGTACGTACCCCCCGAACCCAACACCATTATTTCTGCAGACTGTTAGGGTCCGGGTAAAGTAGGTTACGCGGATAGGGTCCATGTGCCCATATATCATATACTTTGACCCTACAGCACCTGGGCCAAAGCACATTGATACAACAAAGGCACATGGACCTGTAGGGTGAGTATCTGAATCTGAAGGACCCTAGACCCCAAACCCTGAACTTTTAACCCTAAACCCTTAAACCCTAAACCGTGAGTATTCGATACGTGTACCTGGAACAATGGGCTCAGCGTTTACACTTCGGGGCATGAAAGGGCCTTCCTGCTGAGAGTTCTTCCCTCTCAACCCCAAACCCTGGATCCTACTTAAAGCTCAGAACACCTGCCTAAGCTTGGACGTAGACTAGCTACAGATCCTAGAAAGGCAAGATCTTTTCAGGTTCAGGAAGACCCTAAACCCCCTGCTTCCCTCCAAGGTCTGCGCCGAATGCCGCTGAGCGCATCGACGCCGCGCATTGCCTGTCGAAGCTGGCAAAGGGAAACGCTGAAAACCAGGCAAGCAACTGTTATGGTTTTAGGGGTTGAGGGTTTAGGTGCTGTGTACGGCATTTGGCTATGAGGTTCTTGAAGAGTAGGTACGTGTTGTTTTGGGTGTCATACGCTTTTAGAACGTGGTGTTCTGTGAGGCGTTTGTAATATGTAGAGTCTTGCTAAGCTTTAGTAGGTCAAAAGCGGCGGCCCTGAACCCGAAACGCAAGTCTTTGGGCTTTAGACTGTACGAAGCCTATAGAGACGGTTTATTGTTTAGGGTACTATAGAGAAGCCTGAATTCAAAGCTTTGCGATCCTTCTGTTTGAGCAAGCTTTGAGCCCGCCCGATTCTCGAAGTATCCCTGCACGGACTCCTCTTGCAAGCAAGGTTCCTCACAATCTCCCTTAACCCTAAACCCTTTCCAGGTTGAGATCAAATGCAAGCTCCGTGGTACAAGGTCTGAACCATTCCCAATCTCGTATACAAACAACCAGTAGCTGTAGTAAGAAGGTGGAAGATGAGTATCCAGTCAAAAAGAGTGCCCATCGATGCCCAGTTTCTTGAGGAACAGGTAATACACGGAACAATGCCAAATCTTACATAATTCCAATATAATAGGACATAATTGATAAATATATTTGTATATATATATATATATATATACATGTATAGATATATCGTAGAAAAATTTATTATGTTATATATATATAGGCCCTAAAACTATCGGGTGCTGAATGCACCAGGCGCGGATCTTGGAGGCAGGGGTCGTCGAGCCCCTGATGGTGCTGCTGAGTTCTTCCTTCTCTGGCGAGAGACACAACGTGCCTGGGCAACATGGGAACACACGGATAACCCTAAGGGTCCAAAGGACCCAATAATTAGAAACTCGGTTTTAGGATAGTAGTTATGTTGTGGGAACACAAGGAAAACAGCATAGTAGTAGAGTAGGTAACCTTCAACCTTTTTTGGGTAGTATAGTCCCTAAATAATCCTTATATAACCAAATGGTTAACCTTTAGTTCCCCATGATACCTGACAAGTAGGACAGGATAACATGAACTTCGCAGGAAGCCCTAGGCCCAAACCTCTTCCCCCGTAGCCCATACTCCAGTTTGGGCTTCCCGATGACACCCTAAACCCTAAACCATGAACCCTAAACTCTCAACCCTAAAACCCTAAACCCTAAACCCTAAACCCCTAAACCCTAAACCCCTGTTTTTCACTTCAGGCCGCAATGGCTTTGAGCAGCATCTGCGATGGCTATGAGCCTGCGCAGCCCCACGTCCCATGAGTTTAGGGTTGATACTTTAGGGGCCTAGATAATTATCTATACTATTGCGCGGGGTTCCTTATTATAAGTATAGTAGCATGGGCCCCGAAACCCTATTCTAACTATTAAGGCCCCCATAATAGTGCCTTTCGGTCTTTGTTTACTTTCTGTGTGGGCGCTTGAGGTGGCTTTGTCGAGGGGCTGAAGGGTTTGTTCAGTGGCGGATTCAGGCGGTGGCTCTGTTTTTTTCAGTTTTTTGCGGTTCGGCTGCGGTGGCGGCTTGCCTGCTCGGTGCTCCGCCTTGCAGCACGTGCATCCCATACAGGGGCTAGCGGATGGAAATTCCCAAACCCCAAACCCCCTGAACCCTAACCCTGCTAGGCCCAGTTTAGATCCGCGCATTACGTGTTACGGGTTTAGGGTTCAGTGTTTGTGGTTTAGGGTTTGGGGTTTAGGCTTTGGGGGTTTCTTCAAGAAGCCTCAATGAATTTTCAGTTCCGGCTTTCATGTGCGACTGGCACCCGAGGTATCTGAGTTAAGGGTTTACGGAGTAACATCCGCGAATGCCTGCATGAGGTTCGACACCCTGGCAAAATAAGGCTTGGAGTGCACCGTTATCCCAAAAAAACAGGCGCCCTAAAAAAGGGGTAGGGTATGAGCCTTTAGTCAGGGTCTGGTATTTAGGTTTTGGATGCTTGGGGTATTGGTCCAAGCAATTACTCGTATGGCAGTCCGCTCCGTCGGCTCCAAGCAGGTACCTCGATCTAGGATAATGCAGGAGCCTGAATGCTAGAAGCATTGTTCGTTTGGGCTCTGTATCCTTTTCTAGACTTCTTTTCTACTTGTTAAGGTTCCGCATCACACCGCTAGTTGCTCCCAGGACGGCATTTGCGGAAGCGGGCGCATTGGAGGTCATGATTCAGGCAGGGCAACCAGGAAGTCGGGTTTCGGTTAATATAATTCGGCTTGAAGGAACTCAATTTCCCTAGAGTTACTGCTCTAGGGCATCTTAGAGGGATAGTGTTCAAAGGAGTGAGGTTGAGCGTCTTAGGCTCATGGATTATCGGGTTGCTGGAACTTCGTATGTAGGGTTCAAGGTGCTAGCATGTCGGACGAGGGGTCGTGACAGGAGCTGCAGGTTTCGCCTTCAGTGTTTGGGGTTCGACGCTTTCTCAACACTGTTTGGTACACTGCAGGAGGATGGCTGTGGAATTTCTGCGACCTGTAAGTGACGCGAGCCGCTCAAGATAGATAGTCTACCCCGGAATTTGCAAGCCCAAATCCTTAAACTGCCAGGTCTTCAGGGTTGAGGGCTTCAGTGTGTTACCCCGAACCCTCTAAAACCTATGAACCCTCAACTCGCAAACATCGCGAATCCTATGAACCCTGGTATCCCTAAACCCGTACGGAAAGGAAAGGGCCGTCAACACAGATTAAACAACAAAACCTGGCCCTAAACCCCCCTAACCCTCGGTCGTATCTTGGAGCATGTTTTCTTCCGCCAAGGCTCCACGTGGGAGTTTCCGAAAATAGGGGTACCTTATTTAGGGGTCCTTAGAATAAGAATCCTACTATTTGGGGTACTATATTGGGGTCCCTTATTTTCGGAAACCCCCATGAAGCCATGCAGTGCTGGTCCTTCTTGGTCGAAGCCCTTTTCCGCTAACGTGTATACTATTACATGGCTTACCCATTGACCATAGGCTCCATAGTAGCTCCTTTTTGGCGTTTCATATTTAAAATCCTATGAGCTCCTATAAGGCAGTCCCAAAAAGGAACTACTATGGAGCCTATGGCTTAGAGGTACATGCAGGATAAACCTTATAAGGTATGTATATATGAGCCCCCCTTGTCAGGGAACCTTGCCCTCGTACCCTCAACCCCACACAAGCCCTAAATCCTCAATCGTAGAATATATATATATATATATATATTAGATAGATATATATATATATATGTATATATATATATATATATATATATACAGTAATATACACACATACGGTTGAAGAAAAGGAAGGCTAAGGCTATGACAGAGACTCTCATGGCTCAGGGTGAAGGGGAGCACATAGAAGGTTTAGGGTTGAAAATGGAGATCTGGATCCTTGGTAGCAGTGCTTCTTTAGGTGGGTCGTATGGGGCTTTAGTTGGCTTGTACGGTATCAGTTCAGTCACCAAGGCCCTTACCACCCGCTCGGTGTTTAGTCGTAAGGGGTTCTTGTGGGGTTTGTCTGGAGAAGGCTAACCTGCGAATGCCGAGCGTTTGGAGCGAACTGCTGGAGGGTATTACCTTCGTGGATTGAGTGTTGGGGTTGGGCTCGTGCGGCTTAGGGGGCTCAGCTTTGAAAGTCGGGAAGTGCGATCCGACCTTCACAATAGCAACGGGGCTGTTGGAACGCCGTGCTGCATGTCGTCGTTCCTCTGAACCCCAATTGGGCTCTTCACAGCCATCTTTCCAAAAATCGGCTCTTAAGTAAGATAGTAGACCCCTGCTCAGAACAGGAGTTTCAGACAAAAAGGGGGCCCTACAGTAGACCTTATAAACAGTAAGGCCTGTGTCATCAGGGCTTCCTAAACCTTCAACACATCCCCCTCCTTGCGTGTAACGCTAAGACCTACACACCCCTTACCCACACGCCCACGCCCCCCAATCCCCCCCCCCTGTGCCGATACACCCCCAAGGGATACTCCTTGTGAGGAGGTGTATGACCAGTTTATTCCCTAAGGATCAAAGGGCAGCGCCCTGCACACGGACAGTAGTTGTTTTGTCTTGCTACGCAAGGAGAGCTTGTCTTGTCTCAATATGGTAAAACCACTGTGAGCCAATGGGCAGCGGAATGTATATGTATGAGCATGCAGCCATTGCTGTAGGTACCTGTTAGAGCTACCCCTTTAGAGGTTTATGGTTTCAAACAGACACTAATTTTCTTTTACCGGAAGCATGGCCGCACATTCACACATATACTATTATGCCCACTGTCACAGTTGCGGAGTTTTGGACTCATTATAAAAACAGCATATTGTTTTATGCTATGTATAGCACTGAAGTACACTGCTGAGGACACTCCACTCATTTTGCACACACATTCATGCATGTTGGTCAGAGAGATCATCTGTACAAGATCAGGTCTGGTGATGTCCTACTACCGAATTATGCAGCCATTCATTGTGCTCTTGTTAGAGCCTTACGATTCACTATTGTGAAACTCTGAGAATTTTACTATCTCAGATTCGGATCCAGGTTTGGATCATAGGCTCGAGCATAGACGTTCGGATGTGGCTCATCCGGGTCTGAGTGATCTTCTTCGGAATTTGAAAAGATTCCGAGTAATCTGTTCTCAGCCCTGGTGAAGGCGGCATCTGCAGTATCATATCCATGGTTGGATGTTGTCGCCTTTGGCTCGGCCTTTGGAGCAGCTTGTGAGCTGACTGGAGTTGCCTTGGCTTTTGCCGGTTGTGGCTGCTTAGCCTTTGCCCGTTCAGCCGTTCTTCTTTCAAGCTGTCCGTCTGAGGACGCCCATGATCTTTCACTTTCATCTCCTGAAGGAGATAAGGCGTGGGCATAAAGGCTATTCCAGTACTGTGCTGCAGAAGGAGTTAGGACTTCTTCATTGTCAGATTCTGACTGGTCTTCCTCAGAGCTTTGGTCGTCAAAGAGTGTCTCGAGGACATTTTTGAGATTGTTATTTCTTCGCTCTATCTCTAGTGAGGAATGGACCAATTGGTTAAAGACTGTCCTTGAGTCCTTCAGTGCTGTTAGAAGGATTTCCACTCTGGATAGAGT